GCAGACACTGCTGCCCTGTCAGCAGTACATGACCTACCAATTTCATATAGAGGTGTTCCATTTACGGACTATTTTGCTGTAATAGCTACCCATCTTCACACCAGTTGGCAACAATGTTGGTCTAATCTACTCGGTAACAAACTTCATTCTGTTAACCGAGTATAGGTTACTGGCCGTCTTCTTGTCATCAGTGTCGAGGTTGGGAGACTACTCTCTCCCGCCTTCGCATTGGTCACGCTCGTCTTATTCACGGGTATCTCATGGAGAGGCACCCTGTTACTCTCTGTGAGAAGTGTCAGGTTCCAGTATTGGTTAGCCACATTCTGTTAGACTGCCCTCTCTATCAACGAGCACGCAGAATTTACCTCCAACATCGTCTCCGCTCTACTACTCTCTCTTTATCTTCCCTTCTTGCTGATGGACTCTTCTTTAACCCTTTGAGGGTCGACAGGCCCTCTCCGAAACTCGTTCTCAGGGTCGGCCAAATTTAAAAAAAAAAAAAAATTATTTTCTCTTATGAAAAGATAGAGAATCTTTTCCCGATCATAAAGACACCAAAAGTTTGAAATTTGATAGAAAACTTACGGAATTATGCTCTCGCAAAGTTAGCGGTCTCGGTGATGTTTACGCATCGGCGATTTTGCCCACTTTGAGCCCCATTTTCGGCCAATTTCACTGTACTAGTCGACAAAAAACATGAATATTTCGCTAGAACTCCATTTTTTCATCGAATGGGTGCAAGAAACCACCCATTTATGAAATTCAACTATCCAGTACAGTGGTCAGAATTTAGCAATTTGCCAATTTCACACAAATTCAAAAGATGCCAATTTCCGAATAGGGTCCAAATAAACAAGAAAGACATTCCTGGCACTAAAATGACATTTCCTCTAGTCATTAGTCACGTCTCAAGGCCCCTCTTATATTCTTTTGCTTTCCACTTTGAATTTTTATTTTCACAAAAAATATAAGATTTACTGTTAGCAGACTACTGCATTAGTGTAAAAAATGGTATAAATATTATTGGTGCACTTGTGAAAGAATATTAGACTCACCAGTTGACGTGTATTGCACGCTTGGCACGATTGTTTACTTTTGAAGTTTGGTAAAATCGAACATTTCTGCTACTTTGAGCTCAATTTCAAGGCACTTTTCATTGTAAAACCATCAAAATCATCTCAATTTCTGTAATATGTCTTCCATTCTATAAAATGAGACCAAGAAAACTAGAATACAACAATAAAAACCATACGAAAATACACTGCAAAGTCGCTGATTTATTAAAAAAAAAAATGGTCAAAGTTTTTTTTTTCTCATTATGCACTGTGTGCTGCAGGATTTTTTTTAGACTGTGCACACTGACCACATAGACCCATTCTTTCATATGAAGGCCTACCAGCTTTCTCCCACTAGATTTGAGGCCGCTAGAATTTATGAGTACTAGTACGTCAAAAACCCCTACGCGTAAGACGTACTAGTACGACCAAAACCCTCAAAGGGTTAATGCTGACTCTCTCATTGACTTCTTAACAACAACCGATTTACTCCACAAACTCTGAAGGTGATACCTTTCATACTCCCCTCAGCCCTTTCTACCTCCATCTCTTGCTACCCTGTGCCCCTGCACTATCCACTGCCCTGCTGTTCTCTGTAACCTACTAATCATCCCTCTCCCTTTTGCCACCTGATAACCTCACTTCCTTCCTGCCCTGCAGCACTGTATAGCCCTTGTGGTTTAGTGCTTCTTTTTTATTATAATAATAATAATTAAAACAATATCAGAGATGGTTGACACAAACCCATTACCATTATAGTATGCACCTCACTTAGCGACGAATTCATTTACTGACATGGTCTTAGGAGTGGAACTCCGTCATTAAGTGAGGAGAGGCTATATTGGATCCCTGCTTAGACAAGATGGGACTTGCACAGATTATAGCAAAGAAATGAGTGAGATGCTAGAGTCCAAGTGTGACTCGGTGTTTAGCGAGCCATTAACTAGACCAAGGGTCAACAACCTAAATGAATTTTTTATGAACGATACTCAGAATTTTGTCGACTCGAACATCTCTGATATTACCTTAACACCACAAGACTTTGAAAAGGCAATAAATGACATGCCCATGCACTCTGCCACAGGCTCTGACTTGTGGAACTCTGTGTTCATCAAGAATGCAAGAAGCCTCTCTCACATACCTTCAGCATTCTATGGAGAGGGAGCATGGACATGGGTCATCCCACAGTTGCTTAACCCTTTGAGGGTCAACAGGCCCTCTCCAAGACTCGTTCTTAGGGTTGGCCAAATTTAAAAGAAAACAATTATTTTTCTTATGAAAAGATAGAGAATCTTTTCCCGATCATATTGACACCAAAAGTATGAAATTTGATGGAAAACTTACGGAATTATGCTCTCGCAAAGTTAGCGGTCTCGACGATGTTTGCGCATTGGCGATTTTGCCCACTTTGAGCCCTATTTTCGGCCAATTCCAGTGTAATAGTCGACAAAAATCATAACTATTTCTCTAGAACTCTATTTTTTCTATTGAATGAGTACAAGAAACCACCCATTTACTAATTTCAACTATCCAGTTCAGTGGTCAGAATTTAGCAATTTTGCCAATTTCACACAAATTTCAAAAGATGCCAATTTCCAAATAGGGTCCAGAATAAACAAGAAAGACATTCCTGGCACTAAAATAACATTTCCTCTGTTCGTTAGTCACATCCCCAGGCCCCTCTTATATTTCTTTGGCTTTCCACTTTCAATTTTTATTCTTACAAAAAATAGAAGATTTACTGTTATGCAGACTGCTGCATTAGTGTAGAAATGGTATAAATAATATCAGCGCACTTGTGAAAGAATATTAGACTCACCAGTCGATGTGTATTGGATGCTTGGCATGATTTGTTTGCTTTTGAACTTTGGTAAAAATCAAACATTTCTGTAAAAATCGAACATTTCTGTAAAAATCAAACATTTCTGCTAATTTGAGCTCAATTTCAAGGTACTTTTCATTGTAAAACCAGTCAAAATCATCGCAATTTCTGTAATATGTCTTCCATTCTATAAAATGAGACCAAGAAAACTAGAATACAGCAATAAATACCATACGAAAATACAGTGCAAAGTCGCTGTTTTATTCCAAAAACACGGTCAAAGTTTTTTTTTTTCTCATTATGCACTGTCTGCTGCAGGATTTTTTTTATACTGCGCACACTGATTACATAGACCCATTCTTTCATATGTATGCCTACCAGCTTCTCCCACTAGATTTGAGGGCGCTAGAATTTAGGCGTACTAGTAAGTCAAAAACCCTGGGTCGTAAGCCGTACTAGTACGGCTGAAACCCTCAGAGGGTTAAAACAACAGACATAGCCCCACTTCACATATGTGGCATTAAAGCAATTGCAAAGAATTACAGATCAATAGCACTAACGTTCCATATCATAAAAATCTTTGAAAGGATTCTAAGAAGCAAGATCGCCACCCATCTAGGTACCCAGCAATAACAAAAAAAGGCACAATACCGTGACTGGAACGATACATAAATAACCCGCACATAGAAGAGAGGAGCTTACGATGACATTTCGGAGTAATAGTAGTAGTAGTGGTAGTGGTAGTAGTTGGGAACTAAGGAGGAGGAGCCAGTCAAATATAAAGAAAGGGGAGCACTGCAAGGGAGCTAGGTGCCCATAGAGAGAGAGCAAGTGCACAGAGGTGGGGGGAAGGGGAAGTGATGAAATAAATAATGAAGGAACAGAAATACGTGACAGAAGAAAGACAAAAAAGGAAAGAGGAAAGGGGAAGAGGGAGAAAAAGAAAAAATGAGGAATCAGGTTAAGTCACTACTACTACTACTACTACCGCTGCCGCCGCCTCCTCCTCCACCTCCTCCTCTGCCTCTGCCTCTGCCTCCTCCTCCGCCTCTGCCTCCTCCTCCGCCTCTGCCTCCTCCTCCGCCTCTGCCTCCTCCTCCGCCTCCTCCTCCTCCTCCGCCTCCTCCTCCTCCTCCTCCTCCTCCTCCTCCTCCTCCTCCTCCTCCTCCTCCTCCTCCTCCTCCTCCTCCTCCTCCGCCTCCCCCTCCGCCTCCCCCTCCGCCCCCCCCCCTCCGCCTCCTCCTCCGCCTCCCTCCTCCTCCGCCTCCTCCCCCTTTCCTCCTCCTCCTCCTCCTCCTCCTCCTCCTCCTCCTCCTCCTCCTCCTCCTCCTCCTCCTCCTCCGCCTCTGCCTCCTCCTCCGCCTCCTTCTCCTCCTCCGCCTCCTCCTCCGCCTCCTCCTCCGCCTCCTCCTCCTCCTCCACCTCCCCCTCCGCCTCCTCCGCCTCCTCCTCCTCCTCCTCCTCCTCCACCTCCTCCTCCGCCTCCTCCTCCTCCGCCTCCTCCTCCTCCGCCTCCTCCTCCTCTGCCTCCTCCTCCTCCGCCTCCCCCTCCGCCTCCTCCTCCTCCTCCGCCTGCCTATATATAGCCGTCCTGCTCCACTTCTGGTTGGTGTGACTTTGTAAATGGTCCAAGTCGGACCGAAACGTCGTCGTAAGCTCCTCTCTTCTATGTGCGGGTTATTTGTGTATAGGTACCCATCAGTTACACAACCCAGGGCAGCATGGGTTTAGAGCAGGTCGCTCTAAATGCTTTTGGAAAGAAAGTGGTTAAATGAATGACAGTATAAGTGTTTGACTTTTTTGGATCATTCTGTTTCAGAGGGAGATAGCCAGTGTATTTAAACAAATGAAAAAAATGCAAGGACCTACTCTGTCCAAATGCTGAAAAGAATTGTGTTAAAAAAATAATGCATTACCTAACATTTTTTTTTTTAACAATTTTCACACCCTTTTCCCATGAATGCTAGAGAATCAATGATTTAATGTATACAGTAATTATTAATGGCATATAAGAAATTTAGTTTTTCTTATGTATTGTAACTTAAAATTAGCAGTGTAAATATATTTATCATGCAAAATTAGTCTTCCATTAATTATATTTTATATTTATGAAAAATTTGCAGGTTGAAATTGATGAGTTCCAGAATTATGAGAAAGCAACAGGAGCCTTAAATGAAGCTTTCAAAGTTTTGACAAACACCAATGATACCCAGGCTCAGGAGAAACTACCCTCTATTCAGTACAAACTGGAGAAGGTTAAGCAGTTCCTTAATATTAAAAGGTAAGATTTTGCTAGTTGATTACCTGTTAATTAATGACAAGGTCAGAGTCAGACCAGACTTCCTTACTGATTTCAGTGAATTTTAAAAATGACTTTCCATGTAGATGGCCTAGTCAGTTAGGCTGTTGGTGTTCACCTCATGCATGCTGACATGGATACTGCAACCCAAATTATAAGGAGTTTTTTTTTTTTTAGGCTAATTTCTTCTATGTATGAAGGGAGGATGTTAAAATATCTTGGATCCTTTTTTTTTTTTTTGTTTAGTTTCCTCATTGTATGCTTATTGCACCCCTGCTTGCCATTAGGGCATTTTGCACTGTGTACTATTCTTCCAGTCTTATAAGAGGTAATATCACTCTGCAGATTTAGAACTAGTCTCCAGTATTGTCCAGATGTAAATTATAATTACAGCAAATCCTCATTTTAACCCTTTCACTGCTCAGACCCCAGAACTAATACTGCTCTCAATGTCCATTTTCTTTTTTCTTCTGAAATTATAGAGAATATTTTTCTGAAGGTAATGGCACTAAGAGTATGAAATTTGATGAAGAACTCATGAAATTATGCAGGCACAAACTAAGCGGTCTTGGTGTAATTTGTGCACAAATCCTATTGTTCCACTCAAGCTAAATCTTAGCTATTTTGCTAGTAGGCCTTTCATTCCATCAGTTGAGCACAAGAAATCGCCCATTCAATTATTTCAACTACCTAGTATATAAAGCACTTAGAATTAAATAATCAGGCCAATTTTACACAAAATTAAAAAAGTGCCAGTTTAAAATTTGAGCCCATAATTAACAATATAGACATTCCTGGCATTAAAACAACATTTCTTTTGTTCATTAGTCATGTCCCCAGCCCTCTCCTGTATTACACTTGCATTCTATTTTGAATTCTTATTCACAAAAACAAAAAAAAAATAGTAGATTTACTATATTTCTCGGATAATAAAATATAACCAGGAAAGATTAGTCATGGTTTATAGTGTTACAGTAAATGAACTGGACCTTATAAAATCCCAAAAAACAGATTAGGGTTGTAGTCCTCTAGACTATTAGCAAAAATCAAATATATTCGCTGTTTTGATATCTCCTACAACCTACTTCCTGTCCAGAAATCAATTAGAATATCATGTCTGTTTCAGTAGTATGTCTTGCATTCTGTCAAATGACATTAAGAAACAGCCAATAAAACTATTAGAGAAACTGCCTCAAAATTGCTATTTTAAACCATACACAGTCACTGAATGGGGAATTTTTTTTTTTATACTGTGCACGCTGACCACACGGAGCCATTATCTCATAACTAGGGCAAAATCTACCACTCATGGCTTATCTGAGTGAGCTGAGCTCATGACATAGAACTATGTCAGTGACGTAGATCTACATGATGGACAGTGAAAGGGTAAATGGACCTTTATTTAACAGACATTGGAAATAGAGGATAAAATCTATGGGGTAAATTGATTCAGAAACAAAGAACTTGGGTTACAAAATTATCTAGTATTGTTATAGTTGTGGCTAAATATCTCATCTTCATCCATCACAGTTGGACATCCTATCTTCCCCTCCCATTAATCCATTAAAATGAAGGTTTACTGTGTTTTTGCCTGGGTTCCAGGCAGTATATATAATTTGAGACATTACCAATAATTTTGGTAAAATGGTTGTACTTATAGATGGAGTTGTAAAAGAAGTAAATGCTAGGGTATTGGGGAGTGGGGTGGGATTAAATTATGGGGAATCAAATACAAAATGGGAATTGTCACAGTTACTTTTGCTGATGATACTGTGCTTTTGGGAGATTCTAAAGAGAAGTTGCAAAGGTTATTGGACGAGTTTGGGAGGGTATGTAAAGAAAGGAAGTTGAAAGTGAACATAGATAAGAGTAAGGCGATGAGGGTATCAAACGAGTTAGGTAAAGAAAAATTGGATATCACATTGGAGGGAGAGAGTATGGACGAAGTGAATGTGTTCAGATATTTGGGAGTAGACTTGTCAGCAGATGGGTTTATGAAGGATGAGGTTAACCATAAAATTGATGAAGAATAAAAGGCAAGTGGTGCATTGAGGTATCTGTGGAGACAAATAACATTATCCATGGAGGCAAAGAAGGTAATGTATGAGAGTATAATGGTACCAACACTCTTATATGGGTGTGAAGCATGGTTTCTGAATGCTGCAGTGAGGAGGAGGCTGGAGGCAGTAGAAATATCATATCTATGGGCAATGTGTGGTGTAAGTATTATGCAGAGAATTCAGAGGGTGTATAAATCTGTAGTGGAGGGGGGAGGAGGGGTAGGGGTCATCCTAGGAAAAGATGGAGGAAGGGGGTAAAAGAGGTTTTATGTGCAAGGGGACTGGACATGCAGCAGTCATGTGTCAGTGTGTTAGATAGGAGTGAATGGAGATGAATGGTTTTTGGGACCTGCGAGCTGTTGGAGTGTGAGCAAGGTAATATTTTGTGAAGGGATTCGGGGAAACTGGTTAGCAGGACCTGAGTCCTGGAGGTGAGAAGTACAATGTCTGCACTTCAAAGGAGGGGTTTGAGATATTGGCTGTTTGGAGTGACATCTAAACTGTCATATCTGGACACCTCTGTAATTATGTGTGAATGATGGTGAAAGTGTTCCTTTTTTAGGTCGCCCTGCTTCGGTGGGAGACGGCCGGCCAGTTAAAAAAATATTGATTTAACCCTTTTGACTGTCACAAGCCCCTTTCTGAAACTGTCATTCTATGTCGCAAAATTTTGGGGAAAAAAATTATTTTTCCTTAAGAAATGGTAGAGATTCTTTTCCCAATGGTAATGACACCAAAAGTACGAAATTTGGTCGAAAACTCACGGAATTACGCTCTCGCGAAGTTGGCGGTCTCGGCAACATATACGCATTGGCAATTTTGCTGACTTTGAGCCCTGTTTTTGGCTAATTTCGTTGTTCCACTTGACAAAACTCATAGCTATTTCTTTAGAACTTCATTTTTTTCTATCAGTTGAGTACAAGAAACTGCCCATTTGCCAATTTTAACTACCCAATAAAGTGGTCAAAAATTGGCAATTTGGCCAATTTCATGCAAATAAAAAAAGTTGCCTATTTCAAAATAGGGTCCAGAATAAACAATGTAGACATTCTTGGCACTAAAATAACATATCCTTTGTTCATTAGTCACATCTCTTGGCCCCTCTTATATTACTATTGCTTTCTATTTTTATTTTTTATTCATACAAAAAATACAAAATTTATTGTTATGCTGACTAATGCATTATTGTAAAAATGGTATAAATAATATCAGTGCACTAGTGAAAGAATATTAGACTCCCCAGTTGACGTGTATTGGATGTGTGGTGTGATTTGCTTACTCCTGAACATTGGTAAAAATCGAACATTTCCGCTACTTTGAGCTCAATTTCAAGGTCGTTTTCGTCGTGAAACTAATGAAAATCATCTCTATTTCTGTAATATGTTTCCATTTTATCACGTGAGACCATGAAAACAAGAATACAATGATAAATACTATATGAAAATACACCTCAAAGTCGCATTTTAATCCAAAAAAAGTCAGTTTTTTTTTCTCATTATGCACTGTGTGCTGCAGGATTTTTTTATGTGGTGCACACTGACCACACAGACCCATTCTCTCACATATGGGCCTACCAGCTTTCTCCTGCTTGATTTGAAACCGCTAGAATTTACGCTTATTAATACGTCCGAAACAGTGGCACGTAAGACGTATATACACGACCAAAACAGTCAAAGGGTTAAATAGACATGAGCCAAAAAAATTCTCTGTATTGTACAATTTACCTTGAATGAGACTGTTACTATATAGCAATAATCCTGTTAGGTTAAAAGAATGTGCATCAAAAGATCGCTCAGCCCAGTTTTGCAAGCTATTAAATTTTCACACATTTTATGCACTGTTGATCCATGATTATACTTGGCAAAAGGCTTTTACTAGGTCTTTTAGCATTTTGCTTGTCTTCCACAATCACATCTTTAACATGAGATTTTTGTTCAGATTTTTAACCCCTGTGGGTTAGCCACCCAGTGATGGTGTGCATCACATCCAGGATGTGATGCACACCAGTTGACTAGCTCCCAGGTATCTACTTGCTTGCTAGGTGACTGGGACAGCAAGTGTAAGGAAACACACCCAATGTTTTCACCCTTGACAGGGATCAAACCACAGACACTGTATGAAGCAAGAGTGCTGTGTATCATTTGTGAACATTCTATTCTAAATCCATATTGTCTTTGTAAATGTTGTGATTCCACGTTTAGTAATCATCCTCCTCCGCTTTACTCTTTTTGAGATTTTGATGATATGTGATGTTAATTCTATTAGTGTGTAAATTTTTATGATTACTATATTGCAACCTTTGAGGAGCAGGGCTATATTTTACTGCTTTATAAGAATATGAAATGCTGTGAGCCTGGACCAGGGGCAGAGTGTTTAAGAATGTTGTCATCAGCACCTTTAACCCCTTTCACTGTCCAGACCCCCAGAAGTAATAATGATCTCAGTGTCCACCTCTTACAAAAAAATATTTTCTCGTGAAATGGTTGAGAATCTTTTTCTGAAGGTAATGACACCATATGTACGAAATTTAGTATAAAATTTATGGAATTAAACAGGTGCAAAGTTATTGTTCTCTGAAATTTATGCATTGGCGATTTCTCCAACTTTGAGTTATATTTTGCTCCAATCATCCAAATTCTTAGCTATTTCACTAGTATGTCTTCCATTCTGTCAGTTGAGCACAAGAAATTGCCTATTCATTTACTTCAACTATCCTATAAAGTTCACAGAAATTGATAATTTGACTAATTAAAAAAAAAAAAACACTAATTTAATTTTTTTTAACATGTTGGCTGTTTCCCACTGAGGCAGGATGATCCAAAAAAGAAAGAAAAAACACAAAAAGAAAGAAAAAACTTTCATCATCATTCAACACTTTCAACATCACTCATACATAACCACCATCTTTGCGGAAGCACTCAGATACGACAGTTTAGAACTCCCTCCAAGCTGCCAATATCCCAAACCCCTCCTTTAACCCTTGGAGGGTCCATGCCGTAGATCTACGGCTTTACGTTGAGGGTCCAAACCGTAGATCTACGTCATGAGCTCAGCTCACTCTGATAAACTGTGAGCAGTAAATTTTGGCCTAGATATGAGAGAATACATCTATGTGGTATGTGTGCACCACATAAAACAAATCCTGCAGCATATAGTGCATAATGAGAAAAAACTGAGACCGGAATTTTCGATTAAAACAGCAACTTTGCAGTGTTTTTTCGTATGTTTTTTATAATGGTATTTGCGATTTCTTGGTCTCATTTGATAGAATGGAAGATATATTACAGAAATAGAGATGATTTTGATTGGAAATGGCTTGAAACTGAGCTCAAAGTAGCAGAAATGTTAAATTTTTGCCGATGTTCAAGAGTAAACAAATGACCTCACATGTCTAATACACGCCTGCTGGTGGATCTAATGTACGTTCACAAATGTGGTGATATTATTTATACAATTATTACAATATTGCATAACAGTAAATCTTCTATTTTTTGGTTTAACCCTTTGAGGGTTAGTGCCGTAGATCTACGGCTTTACTTTGAGGGTCCAAACTGTAGATCTACCATCGTAGATGACTTTCATGGAGTGTTCATCTAAAATATGCTTCAATTTCGCAGTGGTGTAATATCGAAAACGTGTTGGAGGATCGCGTCTTGATTAATGGTCTACTGTAACTACTTTATGGAGAGCCCCTTATTATGCACTTGATCCCATGGTAAAGAAGAAATCGTTTTTAACTTAGTAGCAGTTTCTAATGGCTGGAGATGTGGTTTATTGGGTTTAGCTAGGACAATGTGTCTGTATTTGGTCAACTAATGTATTGGCTGTTTCAGCAGGCTGGATGTAAGGTTCATTGGGTTTAGTTTGAACAATATCTTTGATTTTGATTAGTTTACAAGAGGCCAGGATTTGAGAGCATGTTCCAGGTCATCTTCATGTCACCTTTTATTTCACTGAACCTGCTAGCATAATCCAGTTTAGACTTCCTTATTAGTATGGTAAGTACTCATGCATACCTTTTGGTTTGTTCTTTAGTTACTAATCCCATCAGAACTATATTTCATTGTTATGTTTTTTATCAATGGACCTGAGGATTCTATTTGTTAGCCATAGTCTGTTTCAAATTCAGGTTCAATCTCTCTACTGTGATATTCTTATTTTTAATAGGACATTGTCTATTGTAGAGGCTTTGTATTTTTGTTTTAAAATCTGTTGCTTTGATGATCTTTTTCCATATCATTTACTTTAATTTATTTTTTTGTCTTGCAGAATGTTTGCAACAGATGGAGAGTCATCCATTAGTGAGCTTCAGGAATTATTGGCTGATCCAAATATTGAAGTTGCAGTGAGACAAGGGGACATATATGCTACTATAATTGAGTATTATGCTGCTCACAACAACATGAAGTCAGCAGTGAATGTTTTGCAAGAGATGAAAACCAAATTACCTAAGGTGGGTTAATATACAGTACAGTGGACCCCCGCATAACGATATTAATTCATTCATGAGAGCTCATTGTTATGCGAAATTATCGTTATGCGAATGAATTTTCCCCATAAGAAATAATGGAAATCAAATTAATCCGTGCAAGACACCCAAAAGTATGAAAAAAAAAAATTTACCTCATGAAATATACATTTTCCTACACACAAAGAGAAGGATACATGCACAATAGTAGAGTAGTACATGCACAATATATATTGTGCATGTACTACTCTACTAAATGAAGAATAAATGACACTTACCTTTATTGAAGATGCAGCAATGACTGATGAGACACTGTGTCCTGGGAGTGCCTTTTCCTCCTGAGTACTGTAGGTCCTGTTTGGCATTTTCTTCCAGAACAGGCCTTATCACACTGTGTATGTTTATCTGGAGTTTATCTGGAGAGAGTTCCGGGGGTCAACGCCCCCGCGGCCCGGTCTGTGACCAGGCCTCCTTAGGTCAGTGTCCCAGGATGCGACCACACACCAGTCGACTAACACCCAGGTACCCATTTTACTGATGGGGAACATAGACAACAGGTAGAAAGAAACACGTCCAATGTTTCTACTCTGGCTGGGAATCGAACCCAGGCCCTCACCGTGTGAAGCGAGAGCGTTAACCACCAGGCCACTACGATTCTTAAATCTCTCAAACCAACCTTTGCTGGCTTTAAATTCACCAATATGAGCACTAGTTCCAGGCATTTTTCCCTGTTCACCTGGGTGTTAGTCGACTGGTGTGGGTTGCATCCTGGGAAACAAGATTAAGGACCCCAATGGAAATAAGTTAGAGAGTCCTCGATGATGCACTGACTTTCTTGGGTTATCCTGGGTGGCTAACCCTCTGGGGTTAATTGTTTCTCGGTAATTGTTTCACGTTAAGCCACACCAACAACACTCTCCACATCTTCGAGTAATACAGCTGATGGTGGTGCAGCAACAACAACAGCTGTGGTGCAGCTGACCATGGTGCAGCAGCAGCTGGGTGCAGCAACAGCTGACCATGGTGCAGCTGCAGCTGTGGTGCAGCAGCAGCTGACTGTGGTACGATAGTATTTATCACCCTTTTTACCACAGGGTTGGGACTAGAAGCTTTCTTTGGGCCCATGGTGCCTTATTTAGCAGTTACAAGCACTATAAATAATGGAATAATACAAAATGTATTGAATGTATGCATGCAACCAGCCACCCTGGCTTGTAAACAATGACGGCAAGGCAGGCGCTCAGGCTGGACGGACAGGTTCGGGACGAGTCATGTTCAGAAACAGCTGATGGTGCAACAGCAGCTGACCGTGGTGCAGCAGCAGCTGACTGATCCAGCAACAGCTGACTGGTCCAGCAACAGCTGACTGGTCCAGCAACAGCTGACTGATCCAGCAACAGCTGACTGGTCCACAGCAATCAGCAAAGCTGACTGGTCCAGCAACAGCTGACTGGTCCAGCAACAGCTGACTGATCCAGCAACAGCGATTCTTAAATCTCTCAAACCAACCTTTGCTGGCTTTAAATTCACCAATATGAGCACTAGTTCCAGGCGTTTTTCCCTGTTCACCTGGGTGTTAGTCGACTGGTGTGGGTTGCATCCTGGGAGACAAGATTAAGGACCCCAATGGAAATAAGTTAGACAGTCTTCGATGACACACTTTTTTGGGTTATCCTGGGTGGCTAACCCTCTGGGGTTAATTGTTTCTTGGTATTCTCAATAAGCCACACCAACAGCAGCAGCAGCTGACAGTGCTACAGCAGCAGCAGCATCAGCAGTTGACCATGGTACCACAGTATTTCGATAATATTTCTCACCCTTTTTACCACAGGGTTGGCACTAGAAGCTTTCTTGGGGCCCATGGTCACTTATTTTGCAGATAAAATCACCAAAAACACTGTTATAATACGAAATGTTACGATTGTATGCTTGGATGTTACCGTGCAGGCTGGCTTGTAAACAATGCCACCGGCGGAACATGTGAGGCTGGCTCAGGCCTCACATAGACGCGTCTCGGACAAATAGCGTTGAGCGGGTTTTTTAGCGGTATGCGAGGCAAAATCTTAGCGATAAAATGTATCGGTATGCGGATTTAACGTTATGTAAGGCCAACGGTATGCGGGGGTCCACTGTACTATTGATTATGTGTTTAGTTTATTAACATGTGTACAGTTTGTTTCTGAAGTTACACTGTAATATTTTCATACATGGAATCTGACTATCAAGTGCACACTCAGCCTTTAAATACATGCACAATATGCATAGCAGGAAGTCAGTTATTACATAGATCTCTGTACTGCACAAGAGTATGGTCCAGGGGTAACATGAGGAGAGGGGGCTTGGGAGGCTTCAGCTCCCAAGCCCCACTCAGTTTCCCCCCAAATAAAATAATAATGCTCCTAGGTAGTAGGATGGTAGACAGCAACTGCCCAGGGAGGAACTACTGTCCTGCCAAATGAGTGTAAAATGGCCTGTAATTGTTTTACATGATGGTAGGATTGCTGGTATCTTTTTCTGTCTCACAAACATGCGAGATTTCAGGTACGTCTTGCTACTTCTACACTTAGGTCACACTGCATGTGCATGGACACACACACACACACACACACACACACACACACACACACACACACACACACACACACACACACACACACACACACACACACACACACACACACACACACTCACACACCACACACACACACACACACACACACACACACACACACACACACACACACACACCACACACACACACACACACACACACACACCACACACCACACCCACACACCACACACACACACACACACACACACACACCACACACACACCACACCACACCACACACACACCACACCACACCACACACACACACACCACCACACCCACACACACACACACACACACACACAACCACACCACACACACCACACACACACACACACACACACACACACACACACACACACACACACACACACACACACACACACACACACACACACACAACACACACACACACACACACACACACACACACCACCACACACACACACACACACACACACACACACACACACACACACACACACACACCACACACACCACACCACCACCACACCACACACCACACACACACACACACACCCAACACACACACACAACCACACACACACACACACAACACACACACACACCACACGATGTGAAGTTGAGAAGAATCAATCGGACGAGGATCAGGCAGGACACAAAGAGACCTGGACAGGCTACAAGCCTGGTCCAGCAACTGGCTCCTTGAATTTAACCCTGCCAAATGCAAAGTCATGAAGATTGGGGAAGGGCAAAGAAGACCGCAGACACAATATAGTTTAGATGGCCAAAGACTGCAAACCTCACTCAAGGAAAAAGATCTGGGGTGAGTATAACACCGAGCATATCTCCTGAGGCGCACATCAATCAGATAACTGCTGCAGCATACGGGCGCCTGGCAAACCTACGGATAGCGTTCCGATACCTCAGTAAAGATTCGTTTAAGACTCTGTACACCATCTACGTCAGGCCCATACTGGAGTATGCAGCACCAGTTTGGAATCCACACCTAGTCAAGGACGTCAAGAAATTAGAGAAAGTGCAAAGGTTTGCAACAAGACTAGTCCCAGAGCTACGGGGATTGTCCTATGAAGAAAGGTTGAGGGAAATCGGCCTGACGACACTGGAGGCCAGGAGGGTCAGGGGAGACATGATAACGACATATAAAATACTGCGCGGAATAGACGAGGTGGACAAAGACTGGATGTTCCAGAGATGGGACACAGACACAAGAGGTCACAATTGGAAGTTGAAGACTCAGATGAATCAAAGGGATGTTAGGAAGTATTTCTTCAGTCATAGAGTAGTCAAGCCATGGAATAGCCTAGAAAGTGATGTAGTGGAGGCAGGAACCATACATAGTTTTAAGGCGAGGTATGATAGAGCTCATGGGGCAGGGAGAGAGAGGACCTAGTAGCAATCAGCGAAGAGGCGGGGCCAGGAGCTGTGACTCGACCCCTGCAACCACAAATAGGCGAGTACAAATAGGTGAGTACACACACGCACACACACACACCAGAGTGGGTGCCTGTTACGAGCGGGGTCCCACAGGGGTCAGTTCTAGGACCAGTGCTATTTTTGATATATGTGAACGACATGATGGAAGGAATAGACTCTGAAGTGTCCCTGTTCGCAGATGATGTGAAGTTGATGAGAAGAATTAAATCGGACGAGGATGAGGCAGGACTGCAAAGAGACCTGGACAGGCTGGACATGTGGTCCAGTAACTGGGTTCTCGAATTCAATCCAGCCAAATGCAAAGTCATGAAGATTGGGGAGGGGCAAAGAAGACCGCAGACAGAGTATAGGCTAGGTGGACAAAGACTACAGACCTCACTCAGGGAGAAAGACCTTGGGGTGACCATAAAAACCGAGCACATCACCGGAGGCACACATCAACCAAATAACTGCTGCAGCATACGGGCGCCTGGCAAACCTGAGAATAGTGTTCTGATACCTTAATAAGGAATCGTTCAAGACACTGTACACTGTGTATGTTAGGCCCGTACTGGAGTATGCAGCACCAGTCTGGAACCCACACCTGGTCAAGCATGTCAAGAAGTTAGAGAAAGTACAAAGGTTTGCAACAAGGCTAGTCCCAGAGCTCAAGGGAATGTCGTACGAGGAAACGTTAAGGGAAATCGGACTGACAACACTGGAGGACAGAAGGGTCAGGGGAGACATGATAACGACATACAAGATACTGCGGGGAATAGACAAGGTGGACAGATAGAATGTTCCAGAGAGGGGACACAGGGACAAGGGGTCACAACTGGAAGCTGAAGACTCAGACGAGTCAAAGGGATGTTAGGAAGTACAGTGGACCCCCGCATAGCGACCTTAATCCGTGCAAGAGGGCTGGTTGTTATGCGAAATGTTCGGTATGCGAATGAATTTTCCCCATAAGAAATAATGGAAATAAAATTAATCCATGCAAGACACCCAAAAGTATGAAAACAAAAATTTTA